CGACAAGGCATTCGTGTCAGTATCGGGAGGAATATGCCTACATGAAGAAGACATGGAGCGAATATATCTTAGGTAAGTCTTAATATATGATTGTGTCGCCATCTCCCATAATACACCTTGTTTTCTGAACAAAATTTTACAATAGCAAAAGCAAAAGCAAGCTCGTAGTGCTTTTTCACCGATTTCTATAGTGCATATTATACGACCCACCTACATTTGTTTCACCAAGCGTTGTATAGTACAAGGGAAGCCAGACAGGCCTGTTTCCTTGGAGGTGGGTGACCCTAGGTTGGTGAGTTTACCCGTTCAGGTGGGCACAGTGAAAACTACCCGCGTTTACATGAAATCTTAGAACCCCACTGTCCCGGGGTGCACTTTCTCAAGATTATCGAATGGTCGCTAAGTATGTAAACACAAAAATGGCGGGCAAACCACATGTTTTGGCGGTTAGCGGTCTTCTACTCACTTACTACTCTTTCTGTAACTTTCTCAGTAGTGTAGCTTTCATTTTTAATGGTGTAAAGTCTCCGCCAAAGGTATTTGGCGCGAATTTGATGTAACACAAATCGGTTACCCCAACTTGAAACGTTCACATGGGAAAATTTGACCCCGGCTGAGGGGGTTACCTGGTCTGCCAGACCCCCCACTTAACATGTAAACGTGATCAAATTAGCAAGAGAGATTATGTGGACAGGCGAGTCACCCCACCTAAGGGGGTTACCTCACCTACCTGAGGTCCCTTACCTCCATGTAAACAGGCCGTACGTTAGAAAGAATGTATCTGTTTGGCTTCCCTTGTACTATAATTTATTTTGTCAGCTTAAGAGGACTTTATCATTTTTGTTTTAACTCGAGGGATGATTGTAGTGTATTTTATTTTTCGTACAGGTTCTTGGAACACAACCCAGACGATGCAGAGTTGGAGGTTGATTTTTGTGCCGGGGAAAACGTAGCACGAGTGAAATTTTACAAGACCTTAAAACACAGGGAGCCTCCATTGTGTAGATTGCACTTAAAAACACCCATTCAGGGTACGGATAGTTCGGTAAGTTACTCAAGGGTATTCTTAGACATCAAGCCCCTGATTTACTAAGGCGTACGTCCTAAGTAAATGGGGCATTGTCGTGCCGAGTTTCGCAATTTTGGGCAAAAACTGAGCTAAAATTAGACCTAAAATCCTCACTCCCATTTTTCCTTTTAAAAGGACCTCTTAACACAATGATTTTCAAGGAAGTTTCGTGATCATTGTTTGGCAATTTGCCGACAATTTTTTTTTTTTCTGTTGGAGGTCATCACCGACCCCATTTCCATCAAGTGGTTTAACTTGAGTGTGAGACCAGTAGAGTAATTTTAAACAAAACTGAACCCTCTTTTCCTTCTTTTTTTCCTTTTTCCTTCTTTTGTATTTTGTTATCACTTTAATGTAGATGTGTTACAATAAATCCCTATTAATTAATAAAAAATGAATAAATGGATAATTATGAATAAAACTGAACTTTCAGTTTGGGTTTCATTAATTCCAGTTTTCAGTGTTGCATGGTATTAACGCTGAAGATTGTGATATAGCTCATTTAAGGAATTGTTTCTTAACTTTAGCCTGTTGTTTTGAGACAATACTTAAGATACACACCTTAGTTTAGGGTGGCATTGTTACTTTAGGACCATGGTCCCTGTTAGGGGAACATAACTCGTACATAATAAGTATCTGATATATTTTTTTCACTTTTTCACGTTCACCAAAATCGCAGACTTCACTGGTTCACGCAAAATGTTTCCCGGGAGTTCTCGGCAACTGTAACGTTCCAATAAATTCTCATCATTTTTAATTCATGTCTTTTCAGGACATGTGGGAACTTGCACGACAGCCTGGTAAACAGTTGTGTTTTTGTTTTCACGTCAGTGTTCACCGTAGACTGTAGTACTTTTTTCCTGGTTGGTTATGCCAGCAGTTTTTGTCTTGAGACTAAAATGGAAAATCCTGTTAGTTAGTTAGTTCATTAACTTGTGTTTGATTAGTTGACACACTTTTTTCATAATATCTGTTAATTGATGGGCTCGTTTTTCGCTTGTCTCACGGTAGTCACTTATTTGTTAGAGAGTTGCAGAACCACGTTTACCTTACTATACCTTATTATAACCAAGGTAATTATCGCAAGCCAAACGATACACATACCACGATGAATAACATCTACCCTTACATCTTTTTAATTTTTTATTGTCAGTTTTTATAGTTGTTTGTTTAGTCATTGTTTCGCTCACTCCTTCATTCTATCATTCATGCAACGGTCGAGTTATTCTATCATCCATCCACTCACGGACCCACCCACCTAACCTCTGTTCCATACACATGCAGTTTTATTGATTTACTGATCTATCGTTTGTAAATCACAAAAGCAGATTTCTTGGTTCAACCACTTACTCATTTTCTCAACCATTTACTCATTCTCTAATCTATCCTTTCTTTTCGGTCAGTTAGTTGAGCTCAACACAATCACGTCACATAGCTAGCCCGTACAAAATATACCTCGATCGATTTGTCAGAATTAGTTTTTCTTTTTGCAGTTGCAGTGATAGAAGGCAATCCAACAAATAAAGTATTAGAACATCTATCCAAAAAAATTTCTGTCGATTGGAGAAGGCTTGGGCGACGTCTATCCTTCGATGAAGCAGATTTGCAAGAATTTGATGATAGACGCCATGAAATATCAGAGAAAGCATATGCCATGTTGTTACAGTGGAAACAAAGAAAGGGCCCAGATGCTACTTACAGTGTTCTGAATAACGCGTTGCGTGATAGACTTGTGAACCGTAAAGATTTAGCACGAGATTTTTGTTGCTTAATACGCAAACTAGGTTTTTGAAATTTTCCTTACACTGAGTCTACAGTAATTTACTTCTTATGCTTTAAATTTCTTCTTCTTTTTTACTCGTGTACTAAGCAACCTGCTCAGGTAGTTAAACCATTTTCTTATGTAAAAACCTTCAGTTCGTTCCAGTTAATTTACTTACATTTTATCTGCAGGCCACGTGAGTAAAAACGTCCTATTCTTAAGTGTCATTGTCTGAGAAAGTGTTCCAGGGGCCAAAAGTTGAGGTCAACCGATTTGGCTGAAACTTGGCTCAGAAGTTGGGTGTGATGAGATATTTCAAAAGCCACTTTGGCTCACTTCTCTGACTTTTAGTTTTGGAGTTACAGCGGAGGTCTCATTTTTTGCCCTTTGAGCATCAAAAATCCAGCCCTACAGGGGGCATTTTGAATGTGCCATAAGACCCCACTGGTAAATTGTGCTGCCAAATGAATTTGACCATGAACTCTACTATAATAGAGCGTTCAGTTTATGCATGAAACTTTGTCCTCGAGGTATTGCACAGAGAGGAGCGTGGGGCTAGAGTTCGGCCAAAATTGATGTTAAAATTACAACCCAAAATAGTCATTTTTCAAACTTTCAATTCTGATTCGATATAATAACAATTGCATCATCTCAATGCAAGGCTTTGTTTGGGTTATTTTCTTTAAAAAAGCATCAAAAGCGTTTTGTTATCCAACTCTCCTAACTGTGGATGGATAGTTTCATTTTTTCAGCTCTAAAGGGCTTGGAAAATCAGAGAGGTTTCCTCGATACTGCTCAGTGAAGCTCGTAATTTTTTGTATAATCTATGTATGGTCATGTTTCTTTGCTGATGGATTTTTACAACAACTTTTCAGGCTATTACAAGGTCAGACGAAGATTACATGTTATCGAACGTTCTGTTAAGCTAACTTTAACAGGGAAAACTTTAAAAAAAAATGCGCCTGACAAAATATGGAGACTTTCCATGCTTGGAGTAATGCTTAGAAATATGACATGAAACTGAATATAAATCAAAGAAAAATTTTAGCACCTTGTAAAAAGATCGTTATATCTAGGTCAGAACATTATCATTTGTGTTTTATGATGGTTACTAGGTTTTCAAAGGAAAAAAATCACCCTTGTTTTGCTAAATCATGTGTTTGTTGTACTAATC